ATTTCCAACTCCAGATATTGTTTGGAAAGTTAATGATGAAATTGTAATGGAAGAAAGAGAAGCTAAAATAAGTGACAACAAAACAACTTTAATGTATGATCTTGATCATCAAGTTAGTCAAACAAGTTTTACTTGTATAACAGTCAATTTAGCAGGATTTGATGAAAAAACATCACTTATACAAGTTGTTGGTATGTTTTTTTACTTCTTTTAAAAAGATACACTTGCACACACACACATACACACCCACAGACACACCCACAGACACACACACACACACACACACACACACACACACACACACACACACACACACACACACACACACACATATATATAATATATATATATATATATATATATATATATATATATATATATATATATATATTTTATATAGATATATATAAAATATATATATATATATATATAAATATATATATATATCTATATATTTTATATAGATATATATATATATATATATATTTATATACATATATGTTTAAATATATATATATGTATTATTTTTAAATATATATATATGCATACATACATATATATATATATATATATATATATATATATATATATATATATATATATATGCATACATATATAAATATATATTCATAAATTTATATTCATAAATATATATATATATATATATATATATATATATATATATATATATATATATATATATATATACACACACACACATATGTATATGTATATGTGTGTATATATATACTACTACTGCTAATTTTGGTCTATGTTTTTGATTGCATAAAATATTTTTTTGAATTTTATTTTATTTATTTTGTTGTAATTGATCTCTTGTATTTAGTTACTAATTATCTTGATTTAAGTATGATGGTTTTATTTATGTGTAAATTAGTTTTGAAAAATTTTTTAGAAAAAAAGCAAGCAGGTATTTTGTTGCCATATTTTAAACCATTTAATGATGAACATATGGAGATCAAATTAAACATTGGTGAAAGTGCAGACGTTTTGGTTGGATCAACAGTTTCAATATCATGTCCTGTAATTGGTGAGCCAATACCTGAAGTAATGTGGATAAAGCTAGGAAGACCACTAGGTTGGTTACAATCCAACAGAAATGTTTCTATAAAAAACAGTCACTTAACTTTATACAATGTAGATCAAGATTTTAATGGGGAGTACTTGTGCAATGCAAGCAATATATTTGGTACATCAATTAAAGCTTCAACTATATTTATAAAAGGTAATATCAATTTGTGAATAGTTTTATTTTATTTACTTACCTAATTTTATAGTATTTAAAAGTTATTCATTTTTACATTTGAAAAATTTATCCGTTAAACAATGTAAATGGGTAAAAATGTTTTGAATTTAACTTAATCTGCTTTTTATTCAAGTATTATACAAATGTTCTCATTTATTCAAGTAATATACAAATGTTCTCATTTATTCAAGTATTATACAAATGTTCTCATTTATTCAAGTATTATACAAATATTCATTGATGAACAATGTAAATGAGTAAAGTAGTTCTATTTTACATTTCATTAATCTTTCAAAGGTATTACAATTCTATTTAGGTAAATTCTATTTCTAAAAAGTTCTTTTTATGCAATTAGTGCCTTTTTTAAAAAAACATACTTTTTCTTTTTATAGAATGTACATAACGTTTTTAAAAAATTCTAGCCCACTCTTACCCAGAAAGGTTATCTTTAGGAAATATATTTTTCTTTTAATTTTATTAGGATCATAATTTTCTAAATTTATGGAAATCACATGAAAACCACATGGAAATCATATGGAAATCTTTATGATAGATAATTATATAAATAAATTTTAACTTGAGCAAAATTATTTTCCTTCTCATCACTAAACATCTTAGGTTCACCATCAACTTTGTGACCATTTTTTATTTATATTTTCGAATAATAGGCAATGTTGGAATTTTATATTATTTCTCATTTTACTAATTCCCTATGATAATCAGTAGTCCGATGTAAAAATTCTTTTTTTTTTGTATTTTTCTCTGTTGATACTAATGATATTTTAAAAATTTTAGCTTATGAAAAACTGTGTAATTTTTTTTAAGGAGTAAATTATTATAAGTTTGTTAGGGAAAAAGCTATAAGAAACAAAACAAAAAACTTACAACTGCAAAAGTAACAACTCTCTGTCTAACTGCATTGTAAAAGTAATAAAACTACAATAGTGTTATTACTTTTATAAAGCACTTATAACTTTTAAAGTTCATACTTTGTACAAACAACAGTAATTCTAAACTATAATAAACGTAGATAAGCATCTAGAAAACATTAAGTGGGTGTTCAAAACTTTCGGAACTTTTACAAATACTTAAACAACTTTATAAAAACCTACTTTATAAAAAGTTTGACATTATGAAAAACGTTTTATAGTCCGTAAAAATGCATGTTAATTTTAAAATTAACCAATAAAAAGTTTTTATTACTTGATTTTAAATTTAACTGTCTGATCATCCTGCCAGACAATTGACAGACATTTTTTTTAAATTTCAGTGGCCCTTGAAGAAAATGAGTCATCCCATGCCACTGGATGACCATGAGGGTACACCACTGTGGGTTGGTTCTAGTGTCAGTGACTCTGCAGGCATTAAAGCCCAAGCCTTTTTAATCTCTAACACTAATAGTCAACTTTCTAACTCCAGACAATCTGGTTTATCTTCTCTACTCGACTTATGTCTTCTTTCTAGTCAGTGCTCAGTTTCCCCACATTCACCCTCGAATGCTTCTGTTCACGGTTTGATCTCTCTAAAACTATTATCTCATTCTTCTTCATCATCAGAATCCCTCTATCATTGTACTTCTTACTATCTTAAAATTGACTGGGACTCTTTCTGTGATTTTCTTTGTAATGGCCCTTTGGTGGAAATCTTTTGTCTTCCTGCTGACAAATGTGCTTTTTATGAAACTTTTTGGATTCAGACTGGCATGAAATCTTTCAATTCTCTTGACAATTCCAAGTCAAGCAACTCTTTTCCCTGGTTTTTGCCTCATTGTGCTGCTGCAATTTCCTATTGTAACTGAAAATTCCATTTGTAATCATTACTTCCATATCTATCATCAAAACAATTCTCCAGAAAACAGATGTCTGTTTACTATTGCTAGAAATCATTGTAAAAAAATTTTGTCTTACGCCAAAGCCAACAATTCTCAGGTCTCAAAATCTTGTATTTTATCTCAAAAGTTAAGCTCAAGAGATTTCTGGAAAATTTTTAACAGTGTCTATAATAAGGGCAAGTCTGTTATTCCACCTCTTTTGCATGGTTCAGATTTTGTTACTTCACCTAAAGACAAAGCTAAATTGTTTACTGAGAACTTTTCATCAATCTCATCTTTTGATTCCATTAATCACATCCTACATGATATAGCCAACAAACAGGTTGATACATTATTTGACATTTGTATCACTTCAGCTTCTCTATCTAAAGTGTTTTCCTGCTTAGACTCATCTACAGCTTGTGGTCCAACCAACACACCTGTTATAGTTTTTCAGAAATATTCTCTGGAGCATTGTCTCTACTTTCAAAACTACTTAAAAATTGCTCAGAGTTTGTAACCTGAGTCAACCATATTTGTAACCTACTGAAAAGTGGCATTTGAGTTAAAAAGCACCTAATGTCTTAATCTTGAATCTAATAACTTATTTTCTGATTATCAATATAAATTTTGATCTTCTCATTCGATTTGTTAATGATAATAATTGAAAGATTTTATTGCTCTCAACATTTCTAAAGCCTTTGATAAAGTTTGGCATGCTGGTCTTCTTCATAAACTCTCTTCACACAGTGTATCAAGTAACATCTTTAAGATTATTGAATTCTTCCTTACCAATCGTAATATAAAAGTTGTCCTTGATGAACAGCTTTCTTCTTTATTTCCTGTAACTTTCAGGAGTTCATCAAGGCTCTATCATTGGCTCTATACTTTTTTTAATTTAATTAACAATCTCCCAGAATTTCCCACATCTAAGGTAACATTGTTCGAAGGAAGACCTGCTATTGGAGGCAACCTTCAACTACTGTCATATCATTGTAATGATATGACAGTAGTTGATACATTGTAATATCATTGTAATGTAGCTTCTCTTTCTCTTTTCTATAAATAGTATAATGGGTGCTGCTCTTAAAGAGCTAGCATCTTTTGTGCCATCTATTAAAATTCAATATCGCGTTACTTGTCATTCAATTAATTAAGTCTCATCCTTTTAATGTGATTGTTCCTATGTGCTCCAAAAATTCTTATTTTTTAGTTTTTTTCCTTGAACATTAATCTTTGAAATACACTCCCTTCATCTTGTTTTCTTGATTCATATAATTTGCAATCTTTTAAGTTATCTGTTAATCATCTTGCTTTATAAGTTATCTGATAATCATCTTGCTTATAAATTTTTTTTTGCCTAAATTTATGGTACCTATAATGTATAAAATTGTCTCTTCAAAGTATCAAAGTTTTAAGTATAGTTTTTTCTCTTTGAAGTATAATCATGTCTCATTAAAGTATCAAAGTATCTCTCTAAAGTACCAAAGTATCTCTCTAAAGTATTAAAGTATCTTTCTAAAGTATCAAAGTATTTTTTTAATGTATATCTTGTTAAAGTATAAAACTATCCAAAGTTTGAAATCTCTCTAAATTTTTTGTTTGTTTACAAGTGAAACACCTAAAACTGTATGATAATACAATTTTCTAGAGAAAGAAGCACCAAAAATACTTTCGTCAAATAAAACATTTGTTGCTGGTCATGGTGTAAATGTTATTCGTGTTCTTATTGGCACAAAAATCTATACTAGAAAAACTTCACGAATAATTATTGAATGCCCCGTATCAGGAACACCACCTCCAAAGGTAGATAATTTTCTATATTTTTAGAAGTTTTACAAATTAAAAATGTTTTTTTGTTTTCTTTTTTGAAACTTCTTTAATTTCTCCACCTAATTGTTGTTATCTAGAAATTGATTTGATGTAATAGTAGATGTAATGTAATAATCGATTTGTTTCATGTTTCTGGCATAAAAAAGTACTTATTTTTTTATAACTTTAACAATAAAATTGTGGTTTTCAATTATTCTATACTGACTGTGACACTGGTGTCCCAGTCAGTATAGAACTTGTGACAGAGTCTATTCACCTGTTTGTCAAGAGTTTGTGACACAGAGTCTATTCACCTGTTTGTCAAGAGTTTGTGACACAGAGTCTATTCATCTGTCAATATAAAAAGTCTCTGTTACACACTGTGTTACTATTTATAATAAAAAATATTGTTTATGATTTTCAAGTTAAAAATTAATTTTTATTTTTAATAAAAATTTTATACATACATACATTTTTAAAGATATAAGTTCATTTTTTGTTTAAGGTAATTTGGTATAAAGGTCAACTTGTTCTCACTCATATATTTAAAGACACAATCACAATTGAAAATGCAGAAAAGCATGATGGAGGCATTTACTTTTGTGTTGCTACAAACATAGCTGGGAGTGTACAAGTTAGCACAGAACTAGTTGTTGGTATACAAAACTTTTTAATATTTAAAAAAAATTATTGTTAAACATAAGTTTATATTTTTATTGTTACAAAAATCAAACAGTCAGAAATATAATTTTTTTTTTTTTTTAAAGTATATGTTCTGTTTAGAGCTTATGATAAAAATGTTATTTTTGTAAAGATAAAGACTTTCTAGAAAAAAAGTATTTTTTTTCCAATTATTTAAAAAAAAATTATGTATATATTTTGGGGAAATTATTAATAATTACCTAAATTTGCTATACACATTTATACAGAATTGCAATTACCTATGTCAACATAATCATAGAATGAAAATTAAACTAATTACAATTTCAGGTTTCAACAAAGTTAAACAAACTTAATAATGGCTGAAAGGATTTTATTACTTATTTATATTTTATTAGATTTTATTATTTTGTTATATACTTTTATTATTTTACAAAAAGAAAACATTTACTTAAAACATATAACTTTTAACTTTTAAAATAAAACTTTTTATTAATAATATGAAAAACAAAAAATAACTTGAAACTTTTCATCTGTCATACTATACATATAAAAACACTATAAAACAAGTTAAAAAAAAATTAAACTAATCAAAACATCGGTTATTAGTTAAAATAAATGCCATTAAAAAAGTTTAGTAACATTTCATTCGTTGTTTGTTAAATAAATAAAATAAAAAAATGAAATAGGAAAGAGTAAATGGTTTTATAATGTATTTAGGATTCGAACCTCAAATGCAAAGTATTCCTCCTGATCTCTCTCCTGTTATCTCACTTGCACAGAATTCTGAAGTATTTGTACCTATAGGAGTAAATGAGGCATTTGTTCGAATGAATAACACAGTACATTTACAATGTTTTACTGATGCTTTTCCTTCTCCAAGCATAGAATGGTTTTATAATGGTTTTGAAATTGATTATGGTGATTTCAAATTCAAAGCTGCAAATAACCATGTTCTTAAAATTGCAAAAATGACAACCAGAAATAGTGGTGTTTACTCTTGTATAGCAAAAAATCCGTTTGGACAAGCAAGTTCAAAATCTAATTTGTATTTGATGGGTATGTTTTTGAATTTGTTTTTGTGCTTTCCTTCAAATTTAAGTTCAAAGTTTTGTAAGTTTCTACTGTAACTTGTAGTACTGTTTGTATTATAAATTACATTATGTATAAATGTGAGTTGCAAAATACATTTGATATTTAACAAACATTTAGTTTTATTTAAAAAAAAAAAAACATTTGGTAAATGTTTATAGAGCAAATGCTTTTGTAATCAAAATGTTATGTAAAATGTATTTGGTAAACTTAATTTTAAAGTTTTTTAAAGTTAATTGTTTGATACTTGGTAACTTAATAAAATAGGAAATTGATACAACCCTCAAATCAAAAAGGTTTTTTCTATTGTTGTTTTACACAACTATCTATGGTTGTTGTTTAATAAAGAAGCATGTAATATATAATAGTATTATATAACTGATTGCAGTGTCTCATGAATAATTATATTAATAATGTGATTATCAATAACAATTTTATTAATAAGGAGTTATATATTATACTTTGAATATTTTTAGTTATTATATTTTTTTAATATAGTTCATAATATTTGTATTAGTTTAATAGTTATATTAATTTACCAAATTTAACAGCTACTTTATTCAACAAATGATATGTTAAACAACCTTACATTTTACATCAAATCACAGCAATTCATTTATTAAACACACATTGTCTAAAAAGAAAAGAAAAAAAAAAAAACCTCTCAATACTCAGATTCCCTTCTCTTATATAAACTCACTTTAGGTGAATACCACTATACCACTATATAAAAAAAATACTACAAAATACCACTATATAAAAAATTTTAGAAACAATATATTGAAAATGTGAAAAATTACTTAGAATCTTAAATGTCGCATATGTTTACTTATATGACATTTAAACATGATTTCTCCATACTGTCAATGCTGTTATGTCACTACCATCTATATCCCCACTTTACCATTGTCAAATCAGTTATACTATCATAACAAAAAAATATTGCTTCACATCCTGTCTATATAACCTGTATAATCTCCATCTTGAACTAATTTATTTTTTTTGCAATTAAGCCTAATATCTTTTACGTTAAAGAATATTTTAAAATGCAAGATTTTAATGGTTTTTAGGTACACAAGCATGCATGAAACAATTGCATAGTATCAACAATGAGTAAAATTGATTTGAATTGACTCTAATTGTAGTCAGGTAAATAGGGTCTTCAAGAGTTAAAACCAGAAATTATAACTACACAATACTAACTCCAATAAATAAGATTTTTTGAAACAAATGCATATTTATGGCATAAAGAAAATTTATTCCTGTATAAAAAAGTTCATAAGAAGATCATGTTTTGAATAAAAAAATAATAATAATATTAATAGAAGGCTTGAGCTTGTTAATAAAAATAATTTCTTAATTCAGCTTTTATGTATTTTGTAAAACATTGTTCTTTATTGTTGATTGTCTAAAAATCACTTTGCATGCCTTTTTGAGGACTGGCCCATAATAAATTTCAGTTAATTCAATTCGGTCAATTAAGGCAAATTTCCACTTACAAGAATTTTTTAATGGAGCAGAATGGAAAAGAAAACTATCCAATCATTTAACAATTTTGTTACGTGATTAAATGATTTTCTTTTCCATTTTGTTCTGCTGAAAATTTCTTCAAGTGGAAATTTGGTTGTATGCCTCATCTAATATTTGTGGTAGATAACATGATTTCAAATTTTATTTATTGATGTTGGCGGCAGTTACATAAATCTGTTGAAGAACAAATCACATTAAATAAAAGTGTCAGAAATGGATAGGTTGGTACAACAACAGTAAGTGTTTTGTCTATGCCTACCAAAATTAAAAATTATTCTATTAGTATAATCAATTTAAAAATATTTTATATACCCAAAAATGACTTTTATTGATGTGAAATTTTAAAATAACTGAAAAAATGTTTATAATAATAATAAACTTAAATATTTATAATAACAATAATAACAATAAAATTAGAATGAAAAGACAAGTTAGTCAGCATGATATCATGTAAATATATAAAATTAAATATATGCAACAAAAAATTTATTTTCTTAAAATTGAAATTAAGTTCTCCTATAACTTTTTTTCATTTTAACTTTAAAGTTTTTTTAATGAAAACAAATTACTCTCTGTAATTTTAAAATAAATACTTTTTGTTTTAATTAATATGCATAATTTGTTATCATTTTTTATATATTCTTTGATTATGCTTTCACTTTGTTTGATTATACAGAGAATCCTGGGATTGATATTGGACAATACCAGGGCTTCATTCTCAGACTTTTATTTATAAGTGTCTTGCACATTATGTGGAGAGTAGGGGTGATGCGGGGATTAGTTGCATAGTTAGAAATGATGCAATCATACTTTTATCTCTTATTGCAGTGTTATTTCCAGTTAGTGCCTCTACTAATCTTTGATTTTGGATTAAAGTCCTATAGGCCAACCTTAAGGTCTTTTCTCTAAGCGTAAAATGTGTGTGTGTGTGTGTATATTTTTTTTTTTTTTTTTTTTTTAACATCTTCACTTCCAACAAGGCTGCAAGCAACCACTATAAGAGTTGGAAGTTACTGGAAGAGAAAAGACTAAATCTGTAGAGCAAGATAACGATTGACTGATGACTTAAAAGATTGCAAATTATATGAATCAGGAAAGCAAGATGAAGGAAGCGAATTCCAAAGAACTGATGTTCGAGGAAAAAAACTAGAAGAATAAGAGTTTTTGAAGCACTTAGGAACAGTCACAGAAAAAGGATGAGACTTAATTGAATGGCGAGTAACACGAGAATGAATTTTAGTAGATGGCACAAGGGACGCTAGCTCTTTAGAGCAGTGCCCATTATAGTATTTGTAGAAAAGAGAAAGAGAAGCAACATTACGACGATGTGACAAAGGTTGGAGATTGGCTGCCAGAGCAGGTCCAACTATGTTTACAATTCGTTTTTGCACCTTGTCTAAAAGAGAAAGAGCATCACTAGAAGATCCGCCCCAGATGTGGCAACAGTATTCCATACTGGGACGGATTTGAGATTTATAGAGATAGAGAATAGAATCTGGAGTAAGAAAGTGTCGAGCTCGATAAAGAGATGCAACCTTAGCAGATGCTAATTTTGCAATGGATTTGATATACGGTTTAAAAGAAAGATCAGAAGTAAGAGTTAATCCTAGAAGATGAATGGTAGATGACTCATCTAGTACATTACCATTCATAAATATAGGAAGATCTAAATTATTACGATAACAATTGGCCGAATAAAATTGAGTTTTATCTGAATTAAAGTTCACCAGCCACTGTGAGCCCCATGCTGTAGCAGAAGTGAGATCCTTTTCAAGCTCAGATACCCCCTCCAAGCAATCAGAGAGTGTAGGTTTCTTATCACGACAAGAGTAAATGGTAGTGTCGTCAGCGAATAATGCCACCTTAGATGTGAGAATGTCTGGAAGATCGTTAATGTAAATTAAAAAGAGTATAGGGCCAAGGATTGAACCTTGAGGAACCCCTGAAGTTACAGGATGTGAAGAAGAGTGTTGTCCATCGAGGACAACTTTTATACTACGATTGGAAAGAAAGGACTCAATAATCTTAAAGACATTACCAGCTACACCATAAGAAGAAAGCTTATGGAGAAGACCAGCATGCCAAACTTTATCAAAAGCTTTAGAAATGTCAAGTGCGATAGCCTTAACCTCTCCACCTCTATCTAATGCACGGTAAAATCTATCGGTTATTACTGTTAGCACATCAGCTGTAGAACGAGAAGACCGAAATCCATATTGATGATCAGAAAGTAAGTTATTTGATTCAAGATGAGAGATTAAGTGTTTGTTGATTAAAGATTCAAAAACCTTGCTTATGACAGGAAGAAGACTAATGGGACGGTAGTTAGATGAATCAGATCGCTCTCCGGAATTTTTGAAAATAGGGATAACAGATGCTGCTTTCCAGCATGATGGAAAACAAGACTCTGATAAGCACTTGTTAAATAGTTTAGGAAGTATGGATGAAAGCTCCGGAGAACACCTCTGCAAAACTACAACAGGAATGTTGTCAGGACCACAAGCTGTTGAAGAGTCTAAGCAGGAAATTACTTTAGATACAGAAGCTGAAGTGATGCGAATGTCAAGCAAGGGATCAACCTGTTTGACGGCTATGTCAGGTAAAACGCAACTAGTGGAATCAAGAGATGATATTGATGAAAAGTTCTTAGCAAACAATTCAGCTTTGTCTTTAGGTGAGGTGACAAAGTCTGAACCATACAAGAGAGAAGGAATAACAGATTTGCCCTAATTATTGATACTGTTAAAGATTCTCCAGAAGTCTCGAGAGCCTAATTTTTGTGATGAGATACGAGATTTAATGACCTGGGAATACCGAGCTTTGGCGTCAGACAAAACCTTTTTACAATGGTTTCTGGCGATAGTGAACAGATGTCTGTTTTCTGGAGAATTGTTTTGCTGATAGATATGGAAGTAACGGTTTCGATTAGAAATTGCTGCAGCGCAATGTGAGGAAAACCAAGGAGAAGAGTGAGGCTTGACCTGGAATCGTCGAGAGGGAATAAAAGATTCCATGCCAGCCTGAATCCACGAAGTTATGTAAGAAGCACATTTGTCAGCAGGAAGACGAAAGATTTCTACCCAAGGGCCATCACGAAGAAAATCACGGAAAGAGTCCCAGTCAGCTTTAAGGTAGTTGTATGTGGTACGATGATAGGGGGATTCTGATGAAGTAGAAGAATTTGATAATAGTTTTAGAGAGATCAAACCGTGATCAGAAGTACCTAAGGGTGAATGTGGAGAAATTGAGCACTGACTAGGATCCAAAACAAGACATAAGTCGAGTAGAGAAGGTAAATGATTAGGGTTGTCTGGAAAACGAGTTGGAAAGTTGACTATTTGAGTTAGAGATTGAGAAAGGCAAAAGTTGAGGGCCTTAATGCCAGCAGAGTCACTGACACTAGAGCCAAGCCAATCGGTGTGATGGGCATTAAAGTCACCAACAACGACGATATTGGCCGATGGATAAAGAGAAAGGGCTTGGTCAATTTGATCAGAAATAACATCAAGAATAGTGCAATCTAGGGATGAAGGAGAGCGATATAGAACAAAGAGAAAGGCGATAGAGTGAAGTTGTGCTAAACGAAAGCACATAAATGAATAGTCTGTAGATTCAAACCTAGTTTCACGACAAATGGGTGAGTTCTTACGAATGTAAATGCCCAGGCCAAGCATGTGATTATTGGAGTCTTTACGAATTAAAGGAAGATAACCATCAACACTAAGATCACAAGATGGGACAGCCGAACTCAAATTAGTCTCACAAAGAGCAAGTAGGTCTGGTGAACTTTGCAAGAGATAAGACTCAACAGAAGAAAAGTTACTTCGAAGACCACGAATATTAGTAAATGATAGGTTTAGAGAACTTGGTGATGAAGATGGTTTTTTGTGTTTTTTAGTTTTAGGTACTTTAGTCATTTTAAATTTATAAAGAACTTGACTCAAGTGTAGATAGTACTCAGTACACTATTTAACAACTAAGCAATAGCCTCATTACTATTAATAAACCCTAAGCTGTAACAAAGGGCTCCAAATGTGGCCTCTGCAATGCACACCAAAAGTACAAACAGGGACACCATCCATGCGCAACATGGCACTGTTAGTACTCTGATATTTTTCGGCTGTTGATGGAATCAGCCTCTCTGAGAGCTACCACAGAGTTCGGGAAACCTGACTACCAGCCGGCCTCAGAACCATAAAACTGAGTTTTAGAGCTGTACCCTCATTAGGAGATAATAGAATGAGTTGCCCAGTCATAAAAATAGAGACACAAGCAATACCCACGCATTGAGTCAAGAAGATCCAGCGTTCAACATCCTAAACTGGAAACATTGTATTAAAAATACATCTGCGCCAGCCTAATAGATGAGGAAGGGGTGCGAGGCTGGTCAACAGATAGAATCTGTTTACCCCTTAAGTCTTTGCCTAGGAGGCCTTCTACAAGACAGCAGCTGGATGCATGTAACATCTGCCCAAGATGAGTATTTTTATCGAGACACCATCTCTAGCCTTTACTCAACCAAGAGCCCCAAGGCAGGGGGTGTTTTAATTCGGAGTTAACTTCTCCTAGCCTTTGCCTAAAAAAGCGTATCCTACAAGGCAGCAGGACATGGAGTGGACATGGACATTTATATGTATATATACAAGGACATTTATATGTATATATACATTTATATGTATATATACAAGGCAGCAGGACATGGAGTGGACATGGACATTTATATGTATATATAAATAAAATAGCCAGCCTCTTAGGAACTTTATTACATTAAGAAATTTTTTTATATTTTCAGTTTCTTAAAACAAAGGGAGTACAACAGTCATTATGCAAATGTTGTTGCAAACTTTCTCAACTTGGTAATACCATTAATTACAATGCTAGCACTCTACCACTGTACTACTACCAAATTATACAAACTGCATACATAACCCTCTTCCCCCCTCCCCCTCTTCATATGCTTGACTGAAGGTTTAGGTTTGAAGGTTTATTTCTTTTAGTATATTTATATTTTAACTTATTTTTTATATATAATATTTAGAACCGCCAATCATTAAGGAAAATAAAGAAATTTTGGTATTGAGAAAGATTCCAGATGAGGTCATAAATATCCAAGTTGGAAGTCATCTCACTGTTTTATCTGGAACCTCATTTAGTTTATCTTGTTTTGTAAGTGGCTCACCTTTACCAACAATACGATGGTTGAGAAATAATATACGATTTGAGTTGAGCGAACGAATATCTTTTGCAACACAAAAGTTATACTTCACAAATGTTTTACCTCAAGACTCTGCTACGTATACCTGTGAAGCTCGAAACAATTGGGGAAAAGTAAAGAGTTCAACAATACTACTTGTTGCAGGTTTGTAGTTTATTAAAAGTTTATGAAGTTACTTATGAAGTTGGTAATGGTCTACATCTACTAAACAATCCTTCAATTAACATCGATACTAATATAGCATATTAACATAGATACATAATTATATTTACTTGTTTATTTAAATATGTATGTATACATGTCACAACTATTTCAGAAGATTTTTTTTCAATTTATCTTTTAAATTTAAAAATTGCATTCTTTTTACAATCCCTGAGACACAGTTCTATTGTTATAAATCGTTAGCACGCTCTTTGATTTCCTTAAGGTTGCTTAAGGTCCTCATAGTTTGAAATCATAATCTTAAGCTTTTATTATTGGATAGTTATATTGTTGGAATATCATCATCATCATCATCGTCATCATTATCATTATTATCATCATCGTTAGCATAATCATCAGCATCATCATCATCATTAGCATCATCCTTAGCATCATCATCATCAGCATCATCATCAACATCATCATCATCAGCATCATCATCAGCATCATCATCAATAGCAGTAGCATTATCAGCAACATCATCAGCAGCAGCATCATCACAAATCACAGTTTCAAACTCTTACATAATCAGATTACTTTTTTATAAAGCAACAAGAAAATTTGATTCAGCACCTTTTTCAAAAATTTATTTCTAAATCTCTTTTTGGAAATAATTATATCTACATATTTCAGTCTTGATCAAATGTTGCCATTTTTAATTGCACAAAACAGGCAGTCAATCCTGAATGTGATATTAAAATACTGAATATCAATTTTGAATGTGATAAATCCATATTTAGGCTGGTTCTTGTATTGGTATTCTTTCTCTTTTTCTGACAGAAAATTGAGTAAGTAGTGCTCTAGTTGTCAAGCTTGACCCCCTCTCTCTTGTAGGCTTGCATCTCTTTTTTTTTCTACAAATGCATGTTTGCTGTTTAAGCAGTTTGATATCTCATGTTCAATTAACCAGAGTCAATCTTTCACGATTTGTAATTTGGGTAAGTTGAATTCTTTAACTGTATCTGTTCCTTTATACTCTAATTACTTTTATTCATCTAGACAACTTTCTTGCAAATCAATGGTTTTAAGTTCTCTTTTATGTATTTCTCACTCATAAAATTTGTTGTATTTTCTTATTCTTTAACTCTCCTTGTTGCTTGCTATTAACTTTCCTAAATTGTTACAGTCTTGTTGTGATGGTATATTTCAAAAATATTATGTGTGTATATATATATATATACACATATATACATATATATATACATATATATATATATATATATATACATATACATATATACATATATCTATCTATCTATCTATCTATATATATACATATATATGTATATATATATGTGTGTGTGTATATATATATATATATATATATATATATATATATATATATATATATATATATATATATATATATATATATATATATATATATATATATATATATATATATATATATATATATATATATATATATATATATATATATATATATATATATATGTATATATATATATATATAAACTTTTAGAGCAACCTGTAGCGACTCTGTCTTTAAGTTTTTTGACCAATTCTGGTGTATCAACTGTAAGTGATGAATCTGTTGTTGTGCCAGCTGGATCTCATATAACTTTATTTTGTCATGTGACTGGGTTTCCAATTCCTCGTATAGTTTGGTTAAAGGATCATGATGTTTTTACTGGAACTGAAAAAAAATACCAATTGTATAATCAATCAGCAATTGAGGCAAGTAAACAACTTTAAACTTTTTAAAAAACTTAATGTAATGACTTACTTTATAATTTTTGTGTGTGTGTTTTAGGTAGAACATTTTGAGCCTAAAGACATGGGGTCCTATATATGTGTTGCAACAAATATATTAGGTGAAGCTACTGGGATAATTAATTTACTAATTGGAGGTAAAATATATATGCTAGATAAATACTATATTGTATTTTAGAAAACAATAGGTTTTGTTGTTAATATTTTAACAACAAAAACAATACACAGGTTAAACAATAGGTTTTGTTGTTATTAGAAAACCTTTAATCCGGCCTTGGTTTTGTTGTTAATATTGTTATTATTATCATGTTGATGATTGAAAATATAAATTCTGTAAAAAAGGATTTTTTCAGTTTGGGCTAAATATTATTAATTTACTAAACTATCTGTAAAAAGAAATAATTTGTGCTATATATTATTTACTAAACTATATGCAAATTTTCCATTTGTTTATTCAAATTTGTAAGAAAACAACAAAGATGTTGGAAATTTAAATTTCAAATTTTTATATATATTTTTTTCAATTTTGATACTATTAAGTTGCCAAGCAACAACAGTGAACCACAATAACCGCCAGGTTTGATGTCTCCCCACATCCAATTTTTTTTTCTTATTAAGAAGTAACATAGTATATAAATTAGGTAAAGGTATTAAGAACCTCCATAGGAATGGCTAGAATAAAATTTTTACACATCTAAACTTTAGATAAAAAGGGGAGGGGCGGTACATGGTTAACTTTATCGAAGTTCATATATTTCACATTATTTTATGAAGAAACCTAATTTTTACTGTGTTCTTGTGTACTCCCATATTATAAAAGCATTAAAAAGTGTTCGGACATTAAAAAAAAATGTAGGTATAAAAGCAACAACAGCAAAATGCAATTAATGTAAAAAATATCTACACTAAGCTTTAAAATTAGGGATTGCAATCCCGGGATCCCGGATGTTTTTGGGTCCCGAAAATCCCGGGATTCTAAACACAAAATCCCGGGATTTTCGGGATTATAGCAGGATTGAACTAATTAAATTATTTTGTAAAACAAAATGTTCAAAGTTGGTAACTATACTGAATTATAACGAGTTATATACTGCTGCTTTGCAGGTTTATCCTGTTTATGCTTTATCCTTATGATAAATGGAACAAATTTTTGAATAGACCATGGAGTTCAGGATTTTATCATTGAAAAAAGTTTCACAAACACAAATTAAGGCAGGTTTGTTTGACTATTGTATAAAAAACAATGGTTAAGTTTGTTGGCAAGACTTCTCGGCTTAAAAAGATAAATTTTAAAATTGTTGAGCGAATTTGTGGTTAAGTGATTGCTTGAGTTTATTAAGTCGTTTTGTTCATTTCAAAAAATATTTTTAGAGAATGAAAAAAATAAAAATGAACAAGTAATAAAAAAAAAATTATATCTGAAAAAATTTAATGATTACTACATAACAATTCCCTTTGGGATATTTCTAGCGATTTGTATAATTATATTTGTACAATTATTAGTTATTGCAACATTATAATGCCCTTGACAATTAATTCCGCTAGAAGGAATTCTAGTGTGAATACATACAAAATTTGACTGTGTAATGAATCGTTTTGAACGTGTTGAACTGATAACCTTTTTAATGCTTTTGTTGTTTACCGCAATAATATGTTGTTTACTAATGCACCTTAAAAAAATATCCTTCTAAACATGAATGAAAACAGTGAAAAGGGAACATCATTTTTTCTACACAAAAAAGATAATTTGGCAGCAAAATGTAAGAAATGTGGTGTAATTTTGAAAACATTGGGTGGTTCTACAAAAAGCCTTCATACGCACTTATCAACTAAGCATAATTTAAAAGTAACTTCAGCCGACAAAAATATACCTAGTTCGACTCAACAGTTGAATGATGCCAAAACCCACAAGAAGCCTCCTACAAAACGAAGAATAACGAGTTACTTTGCATCCGAAAAAAAACAACTTTAGACGAAACACTGGCTCAAATGACAGCTTTAGATGGGCTAACATTTAATGTATTTATAACATCAAAAGATTTAAGGCAATTACTGATTACCAGTGGTTTCGAAGATTTGCCCAAGTCAGCAAACTCAATTAAAAGGATAGTGGTGAGTTACAGCTTAAATATTAGAAAGTTAATTTCCAAAGAATTTTATCAATATAAAGCTTTAGGAACACAATTTTCTCTGAGCTTTGATGAATGGACTTCTACAACAAATAAAAGATACATGAATATTAATGTACATATCCCAAATAAGCACTGGAATTTGGGTCTTATTCGTGTATATCCTTCTATGAATGCTGAGAAATGTATTGATGTTTTAAAAACACGTCTAAAGGAGCATAATGTTAATATTGATACAGACATTGTTGCTATTGTTACGGATGGTCCAAATGTAATGGTTCGTGTGGGAAAAATTATTGAGGCTGAACACCAGTTGTGTTTAGTCCATGGAATTCACCTTGCAGTTTGTGATGTTCTTTATAAAAAAAAGTTCTACGCCAATGTCCGACACCGAAGCACCATTGAAGGAATGGTGCTTCGGTGTCGGACATTGGACATCGGACAAGATATTGTTGATGAAACAGATGATCACGAAGATGAAGAAAATATCGACGAGGAAATGGGATTAGGCTTTCTTCCCCCAACAAATGATGGGATAGCAAATATGGATTTACTCACCAATGAACAAAATATCAATGAACTAGTGAAAAAATCCCGTAAGGTATTGTTCTTTTTAAACGATCCCCAACAAAAAATGATGCAGTCTTGCAAAAATATGTCAAAGAAGAGAAAGGCAGCAAGCTTTCGCTCATTTTGGATTGCAAAACAAAATGGAACTCTCTTCTATCAATGCTAGAGCGTTTCCTTGCTTTAAAAACATGTATACAGAAAGCTTTAATTGACTTAAACCACCCAGTTTCCTTAAACGAAAGTGATTTTGTGGTTCTTTCGGAAATAATAGAAGTACTTGCACCTGTCAAATTAGCAGTAGATGCCTTATGCAGACGAGATGCTAATCTATGCGCTGCAGATGCAGTACTTATATTTTTATTCCAGCAGATTGCTCAAAAACAATCTCCCTTTGCTAATAAAATGTTCCAAGCTATAAAAACAAGAATGGAAAAAAGATGATGTGAAGAAATTTCTGGTGTTTTAAAATACCTTCAAAATCCAAAATATGATGCTGTGAATGATGAAACAAATGACTGCAAAATTTTTGGAGTTCCTCCTAAAACCCTTATTAGGAAGCAGATAAAAAAACTTATTGAGAGACTAGCTGCTTTTAAAAATGATAATTTAGAAAAATCAAGTATTGATGTTGATGAAAATATAATGGCTGTCATTAGAAATGAAGAATCACAAGTTTGAGCCTCCCTGTCTTTAAGAGAAAAGTTACAAGAACAAATTGCACAAAGCATAAAAGCCATTGAACCAGAAACACAAACTTCAAATTTAATGTCAATCATAAAAAAAAAAATGTATCTGTTTGAAAATGGTGGAAACCGGGGGCATAATTTGGAATTAGTATACCAATATTTGTTATCTATTCCACCGACGAGCATCGAACCTGAGCGGGCATTTTCTGCAGCTGGGTATTTGGGAAGTAAAATAAGGAGTAGGCTAAATGACCAAACCTTAAATGCTCTACTATTGCTCCGGGCATATTTTCAGACAAAAAAAGAAAGTTTGTAAATAAAATATGCATTTAATATGAATTGTTTTTTTGTTTTACATTTATTATTTAGCTACCATTTATTTATAAATATAAAATAAAGATTTTCTTTAATTTTTGTCTCTCATTATTAACAAACAACTTATTATGTTATTTTTTACAAAGTAGCTTGTTGCTACAGCAGCTACATCGGTACCCAAATTTAAGAAAATTTATGTTTACAAATTTATTTTGAAATTTTGATTGTTTAGTTACTTTAGTCAAATACACTTTAAATGTTCAAATGTTATTTACATATCCAATTATTTGATGAAGGTTATTCTGTAAAGTCTGTAATCTTAAAACATAATATGGAAGGTACCGTATATATATTTCTGCATTATTTTAAGATCTTTATATACACCTGCTGCCTGTTACACAATTAAAACAATTTAAGGCGCCGTAGAAAATTAATGTAAGTCATTAAAACATAATGAAATTAAATAAAGAATTAATAACATCAAAAAGTATATTCATATATGCAGTATTAAGTTCTGTTTTTTAGCAAATAACTCACATTATATAAAATCCCGGGATACCGGGATCCCGGGATTTTATTTACTTCAATCCCGAAATCCCGGGATTGTAATTCATGCCCGGGATTGCAATCCCTATTTAAAATACACAAATAACATTATATTTTATATTTGATTAAAATCTTTTATGCTATTAAAATACTTTAGAAACAACAATTTTGAAATATATTAATTTGAATAGTAAACTTGTTAATTATTTATTAAATGTTGAAAATTCCACAACACTTGACTTAAATCGTTTAACATAGTCTGGGTGGCTTTGTTGTCTCTTACACTTAATCCATGTCTTTTTAAACTCATGATGAACAGATTCACCTGCTTGTTCAGAATAAATTCCAAGTCCATTATCAGTATTGGTACTTTTTATAAATAGTACATTGGTATTGGTACTTTTTATAAATAGTAGTTTTTATAAATATTGTTAACTGCAATATGAACTTTCCATGGTATATTCAAAGAAATATTATTAAAGTAAGTATTAATATATTCCATTAAATTAGCATAAGACATCTTGAATTTGAAAACTACAGATTCAATATCACCAATAATTTTTTCTCAAAAGGTAGGTCATTGCTTCTGGAAATAATTCAAGCTTTCCTTGATGAACAATATCACGAGCAAAAACTTATCTAAGAACTTATCTAAACTTACTAAGACTTATCTAAAAGTCTGTTGGCATTGTTGCCATCAAATCCAATGCCATGGTAACCTCTGAAAAATATGTAATTTGAGTTTAACCACTTTTCAAAGCCAGGCCATAGTTTTGATAATAGTTTTCTAAAAGTTGTAACTAGTCCGATTAATGTATGCAACTCAGGTAATGGAACTAAATTTTCTATAATTGTGTCTGGATCCTCTTCAAGATATAATAGTCTTGGATTAATAACATTTTTATAATCAGCCACTTTTGATTTTGGTTTACCAGCATCTGTGTATTTAGTGTAATGATAATCGAGGGAACGAAGAGTTTGTTTTTCTCCACCATCCAAAAGACTTTCTTCTTCACACCACAAACAACTATATCTTCCAGTATGGCTTGTAATGCCAAACATTGAGTTTGCACACTTTAAATCAAATGCAACAGAACACTTAATATTTTGAAGATTAAGAGTATCAACTAATTTTCTAAGATTTCCATTGTGTTCAGACACTCCTTCTACAATAGCAACAATAAAACAACACTAAACTCCAGTATCATCAAGGTCAGGTTGGTTGGTAGTTTTATCATCCGGATTAAAAAGATTCATAGTGACCTTTAAAAAACCTTGACTAATACTGCATTAACTAAATTTTTCACAGCTTGAACATCATGAAGATGAATAATGCCTGATTTAACAGCTCCACAACATTTTAGGCACATCCTTTCATTTTTATCTTCATTTAACTCAGAAGTAATAATGTTAATATCTTTTGATATTTCTGAAACATCTGAAGTTCTTCTTATATCTTGACGGTTTATCTAAACAATTAAATCTAAAACTATTTAAACTAGTAATATAAAAAAATATAACACATTATTAATAAACACATCAATGACATATTAGTTTTTTACGAATTTTAAGCAGCTTGTTATATATAACAAGTTGTTTAAAATATTTTAAATTTATAAAGGTTCATTAAATCATTCAATGAATCGACAAAAATAAGGAGCTGAGTCTCAATCATTGAGACACAGCTCTTTTTACAAAATTGATAAAAATAAAAATTTCAAAAACTAAGTCTTAAATATAGTTGTTTATTAATCTTATCAACTAACCTGAGAAATTTGCTTTAGCCACTTATCAAGGTATTTTGTATTATTCTTTTCCAAACAATAAAAGTTTTTATAAAAACTGCTACAAATAACTTCAGGATGATTTGCTAAATTTTGATCATAACTATCCCAAATAAAAGTTTTTTTTTTCTTAAATAGCTTTAGTTATTTTATGAAGCTTTGCTGACTTTTTACCAAAGGTTTTAAAACAAACAGCACATAAATTTTTGACCACCATTTATTAAAACTCAAGTCATTGTGCACCAGAAGAGGTTAAAAACGCCGGTATTTGATTAGCAAATTAGAGCAATTTTATTGAAAATGGCAGATATTTTTAATTAAAATCTATACTTTTTATTTTTTGATTTTCATACATTTTTCCATTCCCCTAGAGGTTTTTACTAAAAATTTATTTTCATATAACAATATTTATTTTCATATATATTTATTTATTATATATAAGTATATATAAAAAAAATCTGATGTGGAGAGACTTCAAACTTAGTGGTCACAGTGGCTCATTGTGCAACCAATTAAGTTGGGAGTTACTAGAAAAAAAGAATAAGAGTTAAAGAGCAGGGAAACAGAAGACTTGAAAAGTTGTAGGTTGTAGGAGTCAGGAAAATATGAAGATGTCATTCCTGCTAGAATCCAAGAGGTTATGTAGAACGGACATTTATCAGCAGAGAGAGAAAAAACATCAGTCTAAGAACAGTCACAAATAAAATCATGAAAGAATCCCAATGATATAGAGATCATTGCATGGTCAAAACCACCTTAGGGAGAAAAAGGAGAAATTTCTGATTTCTCGACAAATAGGTAAATTGATGAGTAAGTATACGCCTAAGCCAAGCATGTGACAATTAGATTATTTACCAATTAAAGGATTGTACCCATCTATAATAAGACTTGAAAAAAGAACAGCTGAATATAAATTAGTCTCACAAAGAGCAAGCGAGTCTAGTGAATTTTGTAAGAGTTAAGGTTCGACTGATGGAAGGTATTTTTGCAGACCATGAATATTTGTGAAATATATATTGAAACAGTTAGGTGGTGGGGATGGTTTTTTATGTTTAATGTTTTGGTTTACTTTACGGATGAATTAAGTTTAAAGAGAACTTGTCTCTTTCATAGATAAAGCCCGGCATCCCAATCAATTAGCTATGCAGTTATCTCGGTCCCGTTAATTAACCCAAATTTGTAATGTAGGTCTCCTCCTGTGGCCTCGAAAGTGCACACCAAAAGCATTAACGGGGATACCATCTATGCACAACATGGCACTGTTAATACTCTGATACTTTTTAGCTGTTGATGGAATCAGCCCCTTTGAAAGCTACCACAGAGTTCAGGAAACCTTACTACCAGCTGGCCTTAGAACCATTATACTGAGTTTTAGAGCTGACCCTCATTAGGAAATAACAGTAAGAGTTGCATAACCACTATCAAGGAGGCACAAGCAATTTCCTATGAATATAGTCAAGAAGATCCAGCATTCATCATCCTAGGCAGAAAACAATATAATACAGGTTTACATATATGCTAGCCTAATAGATGAAAAAGGGGTTTAAAGCTGATTAAATATTAGTTTTATTCTGTTTACTCTTTAGAAGTTAATCAGTTTCAATTTAATTATTTTTAAAGTTAACAGTTTCAAGTTAATTAGTTTCAAAGTTAACAGTTCGTTAGTTAGTTAATCTATATATCAACAAGTTAATCTACATATAATTATTTCAATTACCCATATTAACACATATATACAACACATATCAACAATAGTTAAATGTCACGACTTATATATTATTGAATATATATATTATATAAATATTTTATACATATTTTAAATCAATATATTTTTATATAATATATTTATATAATATGTTATGAAATATATTTATTAACTATAATATAAAGTAATTATTATTGAAAATATAAATATATTATAAATTAAATATATTTATTTATATAATATTTATTTTTAAATGTAATAGTTTTATTAGATAGTCAAAAGTTTTGATGTTAAATTTAAAAAGTATTTTGAAAATTTTTTCTTGCTGTAAATTAATAAGATTTCTATAATTTTTTGATAATCACATATAATTTCACCTCACTCTCATATAATTTCATCTCACTTTCATATAATTTTATCTCACTTTCATATAATTTCATCTCACTTTCATATAATTACATCTCATTTTCATAGAATTACATCTCACTCTCATATAATTTCATCTCACTCTCATGTAATTTCATCTCACTCATATAATTTCATCTCACTTTCATATAATTACATTTCATTCTCATATAGTTTCATCTCACTCTTATATAATTTCATCTCACTCTCATATATAATTTCATCTCACTTTCATATAATTACATTTCATTCTTATATAGTTTCATCTCACTCTCTATGTTATATACAAGCAGTGATAACATGTTATCAAAATAATGCTGAAAATTTTAAAACAACAACAACTTTATGAGATAGAAATAAAAAAATAAAAGCTTGTATCTAATTTAATCTGAACCAAACATGATTGAATAATGTGTCTTAATTGACATAATTTCTTGTATTTGATTCCATAATTGACATTTGTTAAATCTGATTTTGAATTCAAATTTATTGAAAAATTTGGATAAACCATATATTTATAGTCATCGAAATTGAGCAAATAAGTTTACATTGTTTTAAAATTTGTTAATTAATATTAAAAAAGTAAGTATTTTGAGCTGCTTGTTATGTGCTTTTGTAAATCATGATGCAATATCAATAGTTTTGATATTCCCACTTACATCAATTGCAGGTGTTTTATTCTGAAAATTAACACAGTAAAACATGATTGTTATATTTTTATGTTATTTGTTATTCTTATTTTTAGTTTCTTTTTAAAAAATTAGTAAGTATGAGGTAGTGCAGTCTGATTTTATTATCAATTATCATAAATTATGTTTAACTTTTGTTAACAATTAACCATTTTCGTTCTCAAGATACTTTCATGTTAGAGTCATTCTATTTCACTATCACACCCCTATATAGCCTATAAATGGTAAAAACAATTTTTAAAATACACTTCCACAGCAATTTTTAAAATACACTTCTGAATCACTTTTAGTAAAAATACTGTTAGTATTTTTACTAAAGTATTTTAAGTACTGTTATGAATTAGACATATTTAAATTAAAAAAACCAGTCAGCAACAATTATTTATTATTAATTTGATAATTGTTACTGTAAAAATTAAACATTTTGATATATAATTTTTTAATAAACCTTGGTTTCTATAAAATTATCATGAACTAGATTTCATAATTTATGCCTTCTTAAATTCATTTAAAAATTGTACTGATCAAATTTTGTAAATGATACCATCATTGTTTATAAATTTGTAATATTATGTTTAGAAAAATATATCAACAATAAAAGATTTTTTTTCCAATAATATCGATGGCAAAGTTTTAGCTTTTGACTTTCTGTTTAGTTTTGCCAAAGATCTCAATTACTTTAGACTCAATTGTTTCAAAAAACGACTCAGTGATTGTACATGTTGGCTCTAATTTGGATGTGATGCCTGGTTCTAGTGTTAGAATTATTTGTAATGCTGCAGGAGAGCCAAAACCAAAAATATTATGGGAAATAACACCAAATATAAACTCTGCTATTCAGACAGTTCAGGTTATTTTAATTCAGACAATTTTATTTTATTGTTTTGAAGTCATCTACAAATTACCTCACGCAATATATATATATATATATATATATATATATATATATATATATATATATATATATATATATATATATATATATATATATATATATATATATATATATATATATATCAGAGCTAAATAATAAATAAAATAAACTTTGTGCATTACTTAGAATTTTTTGGATAAATTTTTATTTTGACTTTTTTTACAGGCAAAAGCTTTAAAAGTAACCTATTTAAGCATTGTTATCTATATATTTTTAATTCTTTTTTACTCCCAATAAGGCTTCAAGCAACCACTATCAAGTTGAGTTGCTATGAAAAAAAGAATAGAGTTATAGAGCAATGAAGTGGTTGACAGAAGACTTAAAAAGTTGAAGGTTGTATGAATCAGGAAAACATAAAGATGGGACAGAGTTTTGAAGGGTTGAAGTGCATGGAAATAAGCTAGACAAATAAAAGTTTTTGGAGTATGAAGAGACAGATACAGTTGAAAAATGAGACTTTGATAAATGGCAAGTCAAGCGAGAATGAGTTTTGATTGATGGAACTAAAGATGAAAGCTCCTTTGAGTAGCAACCATGAAAAAGAGATGCAACTTTACGATGATGGGAAAGGGGCTCAGACTTTGCAGATAGACCCGGTCCCACTCTGTTTACGATGAATTTTTAAACCTTATCTTGAAGAGAAAGAGCATCATTAGTAGAACCAGCCCAAATATGATAACAGTATTCCATACAGAGACGAATAAGAGATTTTTAGAGGTAGGGAATGAAATTAGGAGAGAAAAAATGATGAGCACGATAAAAAGCAACCATAGCAGATGCTAATTTAGCAATCGATTGTAATCATTGTTTGCAATCGATTGTAATCATAATCGATTGTTTCATGAAAAGTCAGTAATAAAAATGATAATCCAAGAAGACATAAAGAAGTGGAATCAGTGAGAGGGTTGCCATTTATCAATAGAGGAATGTCAACAGTACTACAATAGCTATTCGTCTGACAGCAAGTTATTTGACTTAAGATGGAATGTGAGAAATTTGTTTATCAAAGACTCAAAGGCCTTGCTAATAACAGAAAGAGGGGTCAATAAGTTTACCATAGTGTTTAAAAATTAGAACAACAGATGCCATTTTCCAGCAGGCAACAAAACAAGATTCAGTCAAGCACTTATTAAATAGTTAAGAGAAAATTAAAGAGAGTTCTGGAGAATAATTTTGTAAGACTATGACAGGAATGTTGTCTGGATCACAAGCCATAGAAGAGTGTAATGAGATATAACTATGAGCAATGGAAGCTGAAATGAATTGAATGTCTTTAAGCTCAAATGTCCCCTCTTAGCAATTAGATAATGTTGGCTTTGTATCAAGACAAGAATAAAAGGTACTATCATCAGCAAATAATACCACCTTAGATGTAAGAATTTCTATAAGATTATAATGTAAATTTAAAAAAGTATAGAGGCAAGGAAAGAACCTTAAGGAACCCCTAAAGTTACAGGAAGTAAAGAAGAGTGCTGTCCATTCAGGACAACTTTTATACTACGGTTGGTAAGGAAGAATTTAATAATCTTAAACATGTTACCTGATACACCGTATGAAGAGGGCTTGTTGAATAGACCAGCATGCCAAATTATGAAATTAATATGTAAAATTATGTAATTAATATGTAAAAATATAAAGATATGTTATTAATAATGTCATTTAAAAATATGTAAATATAAATATTTGTAAGTGTAAATGTCAGAATGTTAAGTTGAGTATGTAGGTTGTATATGTAACGATTGGATATAATATATGTATAAAGATAAAAATTTTAAAACTTTTCTAACAAAAGTATTTTTTGCTTAAGCTGTTTTGTTTTGTATTTTTAAAATTGGAGCATTTGAACCTTTTATGATTCTAACAGAGATTGTTAACTCATTTGACATACCTAGCTCTCCACAAAATGTTTTTCAGGTCGTCTTTAGTTAGTATATAGATATATAAATATATATATAAATACATATATATATACATATATATATATATATATATATATGCAGCCTTCGGAATTAGGGCCAGCATACGGCAATTATTTAATTATTAATTGCCGACCTTATTTCTATGTTTTATAGGAAAACCTTTGTAACAAATTTTTTATGTCGACCTGATGCCGACCTCGAACAGATTAAGATCGGCAAATTATTGCCAAACTCTATTTTCCTAATTCCGAGGGCTGTATATGTATATATCAGGCCTTGTGATGAAGCAGGAGCAATTGCTCCATGCAAGTGAAATACACCCGTAAATGGTCTTCCAGGAGTGACAAACAGAACTCGCTAGTTTCGTTACAAGAGTAAAAAAATCGCGCTTGTCTGAAGAACTTGCGATGGAGAAAATTATAAGTTGATTTTAAAGAAAATACTTTTCGTATAATTTTTTTAACAAAATTTGATTTAATGAAAAAAATTTTACTAAAAATATTTTCTTTAAAATCATTTAATCATTTTAAAACATTTAATGTTTAAACAGTAGAGTTTACATATTGTTAAATAAAGAAGTTATATTCATAATAAGATACGCAACATATAAATTTTGCGTAATTTACTTTAATTTTAACTTATGCGGCATAAGTTTAAATTAAAAATGATATATTTCTTTTATTTGAAAGTTAAATTCAGCATGTTTTTTTTTTATGTTCCAGTTGAACTTAATCATTTTATCCGCTTAATCGTACCATTGGTTAATTCGAACTGTTTGCCAACTCGTACAGTTTTTTAGGGTCTATTTGACAAAAAACTTTGCTTAACTAGGGCTTTACTTTGAATTGCATAAAAGTCCATGTAATAAAATATCAAAACTTGCAACACTTCAATAAAAATTCCAAACTTAAATGTTAAAAAGTTAAATATCTAGCGCACTATTTATAAATATTTTATAAATAAACATAAAAAGTCTAATGTAAAAAATTTACCAAACTTAAACTTCACTTATAGCTTCGATTTTGTACAGGTTTGATCACATTCTATTAATTAATGACTATTATATTTATTATTATCTATTAAAAACATCAAAACGTTGAAATCTCAAATATTTTTTGTCAAGTATAAGTTAATAAACTAAATATTTTCACTGGTATTAAAGTCTATTTATTATAAAAGTTAAAGCTAAACAAAACTAAAAATTAAAAAAAAGTTTTTTATTTTGTACAAACAATGAATAGAAAGTTATGAAGTCATTGTTGTTGACTGATAAAATGGAATGTTTGCTGTTTTTAAATCATTTTCTCCCAATGAGAATAGAAAACTTAAATTAAAAAAATAAAACTTGATTGAATTTTAAAAAAACATAAGTCTTAATCCACAAGGTTTTGTAAAAACGTATAATTATTTTGCTTAATTGTTTTTAATTTTTCACACATCTTTAGTAAATAAAAGAAATATTTTTTATCTTTTTATTTTTAACTATTATTTATTTTAAATTAAAAACGTTTATGTTGTTCAGAATGTGCGCAATCAAGCATGTTAATTCAACTCCAATAGGAAACAATGTTGTCATATTATGATATATCATGTTATGTTGTCAACTTTTAGTAAATTTTATTTATTTATTATTAAAGCTGCAGTAACATATTTTTTCCAACTCTAAATATTGCTCTCAAAGACTTGATAGCGAGCACACATAATCGCGCTCATTGATAACATGTTTCAGTATAATGAGAGCAAAATATTGTGCTGGCCAATTTTATTCATCGCATGCACTGATATATATATATATATATATATATATATATATATATATATATATATATATATATATATATATATATATAATTTTATTTTATTAATTTCAAAACTAGTAATAAGCCCATATAGGTACAAGTGTACATTAAATAACTTATTTCCTATCATGTTAATATTGAAGAATACAAAAACAATTCTTTGTACTTCTTGTAGTATAAATGTTATCTAAACCAATGAAGAAGAGCTACATTAGACTCCTCTATGTTTACCCAGGTAAGCTGCACAAAGCAGTTGGTCAAGAAGCTATACAAATTTGATACAAGTTCTTTAATGAAATGTACAGAAGGTAAATCAACTGCTTCCTGTGAAAGAGCTTGCCAGTGTTTTGTTACTCTATTTCTAAAAAAAAATTTTCGTTTAATCTAACCTTTGACTAGTTGAGACAAAAGTTGCTGATTGTGTTCATGGATGTTGTAATTTTTTGTTTGAGGGAAATAAAAGTTGACTATTTGGTGAATAAGTTTGAACTGTTGGATTAGGTCACCTCTTTTCCTGTAATCCTCAAGTGATGTTAGTTTCAGCCTTTGTAATCTTTTTGGTATATTTTTATCTCAGATATTGTTTTCATTACAGGTCTTTTGACTTTCTTTATCAACTCTATATCTTTTTTTAGGTGAGGAGCACAAACCTATACTGCAAAATCTAGATGTGGACGAATGTATGCAGGGTACAGTGTTTTCCATTAAACTAGTCTGCGGCTACGAAAAACTTTTTTGAGACTGCTGTTTTGACAGTTTTCACTTTGAGTCATTGGAAACTCTAAAGTCTCGTTTAACTATCATTTCTTTCAATGTACTTTTTGAGTTCTATTTGATTGTTTCATTGTGTATGAGTGTGTTGACTTGTTAATACATCCAACATGCATAACTCTGCATTTATTGGTGTTAAAAGGCATTAGCCACTTGTACAGTCAGTCAACTACTTTATCAGCTATTATGTCAGCTCAAAGAAGGGTGACATCTTGCAGCCATTTGATGGCTCTGATAATTTTACTATCATCAGCATAAAGTTTTATATGGTGTATAATCGTGTCTGGCAAATCACATATAAGATAAAGTAGTGGACCAAGAACAGAGCTCTGTGGCACATCACTAATCACTGGAACCCACTCAGATATTAATCCATCTAATAATACTCTCTGTAGCCGACCAGTTAACCATTTCTCAATCCATTTTA